GAGTTCACCCCGCTAAACTAGACCCGGCAGAGAGGAGCGAGCCCAGATGCCAGCACGGTCCAACCAGTGTCCCGCGTGCAGACCTGCTCCGGTCGGGCTTCTCCGGAGCTGCCAGCGCTCATTCCCGCTGCGGAGCAGCGGCCGCGCTCACGTGGGAGCCGCGTTTTCCACGGAGCGCAGGAAGCCCCTGCAGCGGCCCCGTATCCATCGGGAAGCGCCCGAGCTTTGCTCGCGCCCAGGCAGGACGCGGGGACCAGGGAGCGCCGGCCCCGGCGCGTGGAAGCGCCCGAGCTTTGCTCGCGCCCGGCGCCCAGGCAGGACGCAGGGACCATGGAGCGCCGGCCCCGGCGCGTCTCGCGGAGCTGTTTTCTAACCAACCTTTGCGCATCTGCCGTTGCTAAAGATCCTGGGCCCTGATTCTTCTGCCACGCTGGATTTACACCGCTCCATGGGCGCCAGTGGAGTGACTCCGCGCGGCTTGCTCTGGTGTAAGCCCAGGAAGAATGGGGGTCCCCGATTGCCCCGTTGCCATCCCATAACCCGGAATGAGGAATGCTGCAGCATGAGCATTGCCAGAATAACCGGGGGCTCTGCCCTCCGTCAGCGACTTTATTTTCTTTGTGCTTTTTATGTTCTCTCCCATTGCACCGCTGTGCGCTAATGGCTTCGCCTCTGTTTCGTCCTGGGACGGTCCCTGCTCCGTGCGTGGTGTCCGGGGCCGCCGTGCCCGCTCGGAGCCGTCCCTGTGTGTGGAGCACGTCCCTGCGCACGGGCCGGGGCGGTGGGGCCGGGGTGGCCCTGCCGCTCTGCAGCGAGCTGCCCGTATCCCGGCGGAGCACCGACGCCTGGAAAACCACTCCTTGGGAAGGGGCGCGATTCATTAAAACGGCCTCTGCAGCGGGAGCAAACCCCGTGGTCTCACCTGCCACGCAGGGAAAAACACCTGTTTTTTTAATTTTTTTGTCCCATTATAAAAAAATCACCAAATTAGACAGGAGCCCTTTAAAAGCAGCACCCTCTGCGGATGCCCTGGCCGGGGCTTCCATGCAGGGCCAGCTTGGGGCTTCCTGCTGCCCTCTCCTCCCGCGAGGACCGGCTCTCGCGATGTCCCTCGCCGCAGTTTGGTCTCCCGGGGATGTCCCGGGCGGCAGCCGGGACGTGGAGCCGTCTTGGGAGGAGGACGGGGCGCCCCGGAGCATCCTGCAGCCACGAGGGGCTGCCCGGCTCAACCAGGTGGTCCCTGTCCCACGCAGGGTGCCAGCGGCTGCTGCTTTTTGTCCACCCCTTTGCCCAGGGGAGTGTGTTTGGGGTGATTTGGTTCAATCTAGAGAACAGCTACCAAGCAGCCAAAATATTCTGGCGTAGCTAAAAGTCGCTCCCTCTTTTCTGGAGGAGAGTCCAATCCGGAGCATAGAGAAATCCAATTTCGTGCTCTGGAAGGCTCTAACAGTGTCTGGCCATGAAAGACCGATATTTCAACGAGCCCAACGGTCAGCACCCAAAATCACGGGTCACATTTGCAGCTCTGCTCCCTGCTCTTTGGCTTTTAATGAATCAGGCCTGCAGCGGCCGCCGGGTGCTTCGCTAGCGGCTGAGTCTCAGGAGTGTTTTTCAGGAGCACGGTTGTCCTTTCTCAGCTTTGATGTGTGAAATGTAGTATCTCTTTATAGGATGCACTTTTGACACACAAGCAACGCCTTACTCTCAATTAGGCAAGTATATTTATTGCAATTCGGTGGCGCATGCTCTGTGTTGCTCATCCTTTTCCCATTGCATCTTTTCCTGCTCGCAGGGCCCTCCATGGCCGGGGATGCCCTGGCGTTCCGAGCGTTTCCCCTTCGCGCTTTTTAAGAGCAGCCTGAGGGCAGCACCGTGGAAAAGGCCCCGTAATTAAGAACGGATCCTTCCACGCGTGTCCCCCAACTCACTAAGGGTGCTGGAACGTTTGCCAGACACCCAGGGGGTGATCGGCCTCTCTGCAGCTCGTGCAGCGCTCCGGGTCGATGCATGTGTCCCACTGACCCTCTTGATTATCCGATTATCCGGTGCGGAAACCTGCATTTCCCCGGCCATTCCTGGGAGAAGCGATGCCCGGCAGCCTGCAAACCAGCCCGGCCGCTTCCCGGCTCCGCATCCCGCTCCGTGCCGCAGCCTGCGCGCGGGGCCCTCTCTGCACAACGGTGTTTGCAGAACGCCCAGAGACCCGAGCGCCCGCCGGAGAAGCAGCAAAACCCACCTCTGATTCCTGCTTTTACTGAATGCCGACTTGACTCCCTGTTTTCTCTCCCGCATGCCTTTCACCGGAATGACAACAGTTGACATTAAAAAAATGGTGGCAGGTACGGAATCGCTTCCCTTGCGGCACAAGGGCGCCCGGTGCATGCGAGCTGCCTCGTGAAGCGAGCCGATAGACCGCCCAGCCATCTCGCCAGGGTTCTGTTTTCCAAGGCGTCTTTCCCGTTGCACTCGTGAGCGTGTCGTGTGGATGTGTCCGCTGGAGAAAACCCCCCGTGAAAGTTGGAGAGTGGCTTGTGAACCCC